ATATATATATATATATATAGAGAGAGAGAGAGAGAGAGAGAGAGAAGAGAGAGAGAGAAGAGAGAGAGAGAAGAGAGAGAGAGAAGAGAGAGAGAGAAGAGAGAGAGAGGAGGAGAGAGAGAGAGGAGAGAGAAAGAAATATAACAATTTTCGTACCTTTCAAGAAACTGCACCCCCCCCCATTCCAACCTTCCCCGCAAAAAGATAATTAACAAAAGTTTTCAGGTTTTGTGCGCCGCGTCTCCCCGTCTTTCGCCCGGGCGGAAACAAAGCACGTTAAACGCCTTTCCTCAAGGAGACGTCATTCGATACAATCCGTTCAGTGTTACATCGATGATAATATAGTGTAAATAGGATGTTACGAAAAACTGAATTGCTAATCCGCACACACGCACAGAAACACGCATGAGTAAACACACACACACACACACACACACACACACACACACACACACACACACACACACACACACACGCACACACACACACATGTATGCACACACACCGCATTCTGATGCACGATGTCAACGACTTGTCATTATAGTGCTTGGGTTCCGGTTCAGAATGTCAAGGATCAGGACCTGTCAAGCATGAGTGCGAATTTTCTCAAAAATAGGTTTCCGATGAGACTTAATTCTTGCGTAGATGCGCGTGCGTGCGTATGTGTGTGTGTGTGTGAGATATATATACATATATATATATATATATATATATATATATATATATATATATATATATATATATATATATATATATATATATATATATATATATATATATATATATATATATATATATATATATATATATATATATATATATATATATATATATATATATATATATATATATATATATATATATATATATATATATATATATATATATATATATATATATATATATATATATATATATATATATATATATATATATATATATATATATATATATATATATATATATATATATATATATATATATATATATATATATATATATATATATATATATATATGGGTGTGTGTGTGGTGTGGTTTGTGTGTGTGTGTGTGTGTGTGTGTGAAAGACAGAAAAAAACAGCAAGCGAAAGTCTCATCTTTGACCATTATATCGCGCAGACACTCTGGTTTCATAAACAAACAAATAAACAAACGCCTGCGATGAGAGGCCAGGTGCGCTAAAGAGGCCACGTCTCAACGCTCTCATTTGGCTTTGACTTTAGCTTCCGTGACTGACTTTGTTTTTGTAAGTTTCACGCTTTACGCCACATGCAACAACGAGCCGGAAAACAAGAAAGTTGTAATTTGAATCCCATTTAGAAGGAAATAAAGAATTATTAAAAGTAAAATTCAAAAAAAGGGACTTCAACGAAAGAAAAATAATCTGAATCGACCTTAATGACCCTGTCGAAATTCGCCATCAAATAACTCCCTAAACATAAAAGGACGAATGTCATTAATTCATTAAGAAGTAATCAATCCTTCACCATAATCCTCACGTCAACACTACCTTACGTCATCACCACCAACACGCCCTGACAATAAACTCATCACCAACGCGCCCAAACTGTCTACGTATCACCACCGCCTCCGACTTTTCCAAGCACCAAAGCACCGCAGAAAGGAAGACGTCGAGGGTTTCAAGTGGAATGCTGTTTCGGAGGCGAAGGTGAATTAGGGTGAATGTGGATTCTTTGAAAGGGAAGGAGAAAGGGAGGGAGGGAGGGAGGGGAGGGGAGGGGAGGAGAAGGGGGAGAGTGGAAAGGGGAATAGAGGGAGGGAGGGAAGAGGAGAAGAGGGAGCGGGAGGGGATTGGAACAGAGGTAGAAAAACAAAGAATGTACGGGGGGAAGGAGAGAGGGAGAGGGATTGAGATAGAGAGAGAGAGAGAGAAAGCTGACAGACAGAGACAAACACACACAAGGCAAAGGCAGAAACACAGAGAGGAACGATAACAAAAAAAAGTCAAGCACAAAAGATTCATTGATTAATCAGCAACATTAATAAGGCTACCGATCACCCGTATGGAGAGAGAGAGAAGGAAAGGTGGAGAGGGAAGGGGAGGGGGAGGGCAGGGCGGGGATGATAACACGCGGGATAGCATGTTCCCATCAAATCACACTCAGACGGAAACAAATTGGTCCAGGAGGAGCGGACATCGTCCTCCCTTCTCCCTCCCTCTCCCCCTCTTCCGTCCCTCCCTTCCTCCTCCCTCCATCCCTTACATTAGCTCTTTTCCGTCTCCCTTCTTCATCCATCCTTCCCATCCTTCCGTCCTTCCTTCCTTCCTTCCTTCTTTCTGTCCTCCCCCCCTCCGTCAATCCACCCCTCTCCCCCTCTCTCTTTTCCTCTATACCTCTCTTCCTCCTCCACACCTCCAACCCACCCATCCCCCATCCTCCCTCCCACCTTCACCCTACTCCCTCCTTTACCCCCCCCACCCACCCAGCATCCACATAAGGAATGGCCCGAGGAAGAAGGATAAGATCAATCTCGAACATTATACTTTTCAGAAAACCAGACGTTCTTATCATGGTTTCGTTGTGGTGTGGCAAAGACGGCTGATCGCTCTTGTCCATTCTGCTCTCGTGACGCCGTGTGTGTGTGTGTGTGTGTGTGTGTGTGTGTGTGTGTGTGTGTGTGTGTGTGTGTGTGTGTGTGTGTGTGTGTGTGTGTGTGTGTGAGAGAGAGAGAGAGAGTTTGAGAGTAAGGGTAGATATAAATGGTTATGAGTATGGATACGAGTGTGAGTAAAAGTAAGCGTAAGAGTATGGATCTGAGTGTGAGTCGAGTGTGTGTGTGTGTTTGTGTGTGTGTGTGTTTGTGTGTGTGTGTGTGTTTGTGTGTGTGTGTGTGTGTGTGTGTGTGTGTGTGTGTGTGTGTGTGTGTGTGTGTGTGTGTGTGTGAGAGAGAGAGAGAGAGAGAGAGAGAGAGAGAGAGAGAGAGAGAGAGAGAAGCCGGAAAGTCTCGTTCTAAAAAAGGAAACTTTTTTTACTATCAACCTACAAACTGTTATGGCCCAGGCTCCCTCCCTAAGCTCTTGGCCAGCGGACGGACACATACATAAAGTCCACGATACACCGTTCGAACACAGACTAACCCAAACTGAGGCCATCAAGTAAACTACCCTCCTCCCTCCTCCTCGCTCTTTCTCTCGCTTCTCCCCTCTCCCCCGCGAGGTAGAGGCTGCAGCGAGCGAGGCACTTGGCGCCCTCTCTCACGCGTCGTGGTGTGTATGAGGCTGGCTTCGGCACACCAGGGTACCTGTGGTCAAGCGGATACGCCGGTTGGTGGTGCGGTCGACGCATGCTTAAGAGACCTCCGTCTGCCTGGCTCATACCCCTTTCCCACTGCTCTCTCTTCCTCTTTCTCTTAAACACACACACACATATATTTGTGTGTGCGTGCGTGCGTGTGTATATGTATATGTACATATATATGTATACACACAGATATGTATGTGTGTGCATGTGTATGCGTATATGTGTGTATGTGTATATATGTATGTATATATTATACACACATAAATATAAATACATATACATATGTACGTATATGTACATATACATACATATACATATGCATGCATATATATATATATATATATATATATATATATATATATATATATATATATATATATATATATATATATATATATAAATGTGTATATATGTACTGTATGTGTACGAGTGTGTGTGTGGAGTGTGCATATATATATATATATATATATATATATATATATATATATATATATATATATATATATATATATATATATATAATACATTCCTATTTACATGCATATATGTATGCATGTATACATATAAATACATACATACAAACACATATATCTGTATGTAGCCTAAATACCGAAGTATCTATGATGTTGCTAATATGCAAAGGGACCAAAATACTCGAGATATGACGTCACGGCGACCTTCTGACGTCATCACAATAAACAATAAGATAGCAATAAACAACAAAGGCTTTGCGACGCTGTCTTTTATCATTTAATTTTTCTCGTCTTTCTCTCTTCCTTCTTTCTTAGTTTTCCGCTTGTGTCAGGGAATTTTCCGTTTGTATTTATTTCCTCCATAACGTTTGCCCCTTACCAAAGACCCATACATATAATTACACATTTTTCTTATGGTTTTTGGTCTTCTTTCCCTCCTTATCCTTAATCTTTCTTCTTTCCTCCTTCCCTCTCCTTACCTGCCATCAGAAACAGTCACAACAAAAATCATGCATAATTCACACGACGCTCTCCGCACGTGCAAAAGTTTTGAATGTGTCCTCTTTAAAGAATTTCCAGTCGCCAAGACGCTGCATTATTGGTCGCGACGCCCCCACCCCCACCATCTCAACCCCACCCCTTCAAACTCCCCTATCTCCTTCAACCCCTTCCAACCGACTCCCCCGCCCCCTGTAACCCCTCCCTCCTCCCCTTTGCCCCTCGGACTTTCCCCTCTCTGGCGCCAAGGAATCAACAAGGCAGAAACTCCTACAAAATCAGCCTTAATTTCCCCTCAATCGAGCTCTCGACGGTCGATTTCTCTTCCTCGGCGTATGCAGCGTGCGTCCGACGCCAGACACTTTGGCTCCAGTGTTAAGAAAAAAAATCGTCGGCGAATGCAAACGTAATTTTCGAAAAGCCTAACACCATCTACACTAAAATAAAGTTTTCCTCACAACAATGATGGCAAGCCCGCTGAAGTCGTGTATATGATATTCATAAACCAGTGAAATGAAACACAGAATGCTTAAGAACTGTGGTATAATAACGACACAACATAACACAAAGCATGCAACGTAATTACTGTAAAGCAATATCCACTAGTCTATACACGTAACTACAAAACTAGACGCTAGTGATAACTACAATACTACAAGCACACACAACTAGACAATATGGATATATTTAGTAATAAAAAAAATAATCAAACAGTTATATACAACAAAGACAACACTCGGTAATCAAATAATTTCTTGTCTTACCTTAGGTTCGCAGGCCTTATGCACCAGGTATTTGCAAACTGAAAAATGATAATTTACATAATCAGAAACGTAGAGACGAGTGCAGAATGTTATGCCTTAAGAATTAAATATAAATGATAATCTAGTCTTTCCCGTAAACAATTCTGAAAACACTAATTTATATTTACACATACGAAAAATTTTAACGTAGATAATTTCCTTTTCAACAGCTACTGTTTCTCTTCTATGTGATATTCAGCACTATTACTTGATACAGATACGTAACCATCAAGACATTCTAATACAATCCATCTTTTCCCTAACATCACTAACATGTCAATGATGTTAGCTTTTTTAAGATATTCAAACCTGTGTCTAGTGTCTTTATAACATAAATATCCTGATACATTCTACAATACCCCCACTCTCTCTTCCTTAAGCCTACTCCATACCCATATTCATTACATATATTTTCCCGTGCTCCCACAGCAAGCTTACATTGTTCTTAATCTGTCTCGAGTTTCAATCTATAAGAAATCTTTCCCCAGTCTCTACCTGGCAGATAACAATCACCATTAAACTCACCTCTGCAACAGGAGCCGAGCTTGACAATCGGCTGGTGGCAGACATGGCAGGGCCGGGATTTTTTAACCTTTTTCGCTTTGAATACATGGCGCTGGGCTTCGAGGGTATTTGGCTGGAAAGAGAATAAAAAGAAGTTAGATTTGATATAGAATAGTTAGCCCGACTTAGTCCGTTTTCTTTTCACGCGACACTGTAGAAAGAAAACGAGAAATATTCGAGGTGTAACTATGAATTAATAAAAAAAATCCTTTGTAGTAAAATAAGCGTATACATATGACATCTAAATTGTAAAAACAACATCAGTATTATTCATGTATATTGCTATATTTATGGAATTATTTATTATAACAAATACCATAAATATAACAATATACAGGGTTACAGATATTCGTTTCAGTCTCAGCTTACACATTCTATGAAGTAAAGAGTCTTTTATAGGAAAAGGGTTATAATAGAGATCTATACATTTGGTATTATTTATCATTATTATCATTATTACCTATAATGATAGTAATAGTAATAATAAGACTATAAAAGAAAAAAAAACATTATCATCATGTTATCACCATTATAACCATTTATGGAATTAGTGTTATCCTTATTGATACCATCATAATTTCCGCCTACATTCCTATAACTAAAAAAAGTGTGCATGTATACATAAATACACAAACACACACACACACACACACACACACACACACACACACACACACACACACACACACACACACACACACACACACACACACACACACACACTCACTCACACACACACTCACACACACACACACACAGATAGATATGTTCTACACAGAACAAATATCAAGCAGGATTTCATGCTTCCCACCAAACAATATATTTTCCCTAATAAATCACCGGAAACAGAACTAGTAACAACGACCGACACAGGCAGAGTCTTACCCCCCTAAAGGCCCACCCAAGCTATCGCCCGAGCCTCGGCCTTTCCTCCGGCTGACAGAAAACTCCTCATGTATCACAAGAGATACCTTGGTAGCTGCACCGATGAATAATAGTCACAATCAGTCAAGTCGCAGAGTAATGTCTAGCCATGAAGGAGAAGTCAGAAGACGAATCGCCCGTGAAAGGACGATTTCCCGCCATTTTCGGCAGCCCTTTGTTAGTATGCGAGAGTTGTCAGCATTACTGCTCAATCCGCACTTGGGGTTCGGGACACTGGGGTTAGATTCTTCGATTAACATGAGAAAGAAATGCATAATGGAAGGAGTGGAGCCAAAGTGTGATAATACGATGAGAAAGATAAATTAAGAAATATTGTGAACTTAATCTGGGATTGTCTGTGCACGACAGCGTAACACACCATCAACAGAAACATAATAATTAGTAATAACTATTATTACAATATTATTATTATCACATTATTATTATTATTACAATAATAATAATAATAATAATAATGATAATATCACTATTATCCAGATCCCGATTTCAATGCTACTTAAGAAATTATCATCAATCTCATGTTGCCTTGATAACGATAGTGACTAATATGTCGAGACTTCTAACATTATAATATATATATATATATATATGTATATATATATATATATATATATATATATATATATATATATATATATATATATATATATAACATGCAATTTAAAGTTGTTAAAAAGGATGCCTCCGTTTATTGCCAAATCCTTTAAAATCAATGCAATCCCGTTTTCTGTTTGAAGCAAAAGAAAACTTGGGGTACCTACGGTAAATCTTCGCGTTATCAAAACCGTATATTTGGACTACTCTTTAGGTACCATTTATTACACAAGACCAGATGGGCGGAGGCTTCATCTGCACAGGTCAACGGTAAAACTGCGAATGGAATGAGACAAGAATAATATCACGTGTAAGTGTTGTCATGCGAATGAGTTTATATGTTGCGCTGCGGGGTGGCACTACCTGATATCGCCAAGGTAGACAGTGGATATTTGAGACGGCTGAATTATTGGCAACTTGGTTAAAATCATGAATATGAATTAAATCGAGCCTCTCTCTCTCTCTCTCTCTCTCTCTCTCTCTCTCTCTCTCTCTCTCTCTCTCTCTCTCTCTCTCTCTCTCTCTCTCTCCTCCCTTTCTTTCTCTCTCTCTCTCTCTCTCTCCCTCCCTTTCTCTCCCCCCCCCTCTCTCTCTCTCTTTTCCTCCCTCTCCCTCTCTCTCTCTCTCTCTGGCTTCCTAACCATTAGAAAAGGAGTATATATAACGGAATGAAATACGGCAGACGGGAGAATCCTTAGCCTTATCAGAAACATTCACCCTCGACTATAAGAGCAAGCGCGGGGCCAACGAGGCAGTTCGGTTCTAGGACCCACGAAGACGGCTGCTGGTAAACAACCCCTCGTCTCCTTCATTAGCATTTTATTCATGATAACCCCGATAAGGGCCAGAAGCATCTGCCTGGAGCTGCCCTTATCGTTTACCTGTTGAATATTCAATACATCTACAACATTTACACATCGAGGCCTTCCCGGGGTGGACGCTCTTCGCCCTCCCTCGCTCCTGGATCTCCGAGAGCGGCCAGGCGGTTCGGGATCTCAATAACGGTTCGCTTCCATAAGCAGTTGCAGCCAATTATCCTTTAATTGCCAACCGCCATTTAAGACGCGAGGAGCTGTCCGCATTAAAGCCATCAGCGCTCAACACAACGCACCATAACGCTTGAGGAAGCTGCTTGTCAGTCTCACAGATGGATCTCCAGTCCAGCCGATCGTGACGCGCTTCGTTTCGTTATTTCGAATTTGCAAAGTCTGTTAAGTTTTCTGGATGGTATTGAACAAAAATGTAGGCATCGATTTTTCTTTAAAGTCGAATATTTTTGTCGATACTTCAGTGTGTGAAAATCCCGTTTTGCGTAGAATATGCAAAATTTATGTGATGGTTTTGTTTTGTTAGAACCTGAGGTTTATTTCTTATATCTTTTGGTAAAACCACGTAGTAGTGTATATTATTTCACACACATACAGTACAATTCAAGTTTCATACCACTACACATCTATTAGAAAAAAATGAAATTTCATTTTCTGCATTGGTATATTGCCGCGGAATAATTATTACAACTCGTTCTCCCTCTATTATTTTGTTCGAGACTTGAAGCTGCATTTTGAAAAAGAAACGAAGGTCGAGGTCAGAAACACACGCACGCGCACACACACACACACACAGAAAGAGAGAGAGAGAGAGAGAGAGAGAGAGAGAGAGAGAGAGAGAGAGAGAGAGAGAGAGAGAGAGAGAGAGAGAGAATCTAACAAAGCATACAAACAGAGTGAATGCCATCATGACTTTAAAAAATCTGCAAGCCATCACACACAGCAATCTGAGAAGGTATGAAGGGAGCGGCGTCTGCTTGCTGCTCCGCCAACAACCAGAGGCCTTATGTAACCACTGCAGTCATTCATACAACTCACGCTGCCTCTTGACCGCCATCAACCTACACACTTCACACTTCATCCCCATTCATGAGCCTCTCTCTCTCTCTCTCTCTCTCTCCCTCTCTCTCTCTCTCTCTCTCTCTCTCTCTCTCACTCTCTCTCTCTCTCTCCCTCCATCTCTCCCCCTCCCCCCCTCTCTCTCCCCCTCCCCCCTCTCTCTCTCCCCTCCCCCCCTCTCTCTCTCCCCATCCCCCCTCTCTCTCTCCCTCTCTCTCTCCCTCTCTCTCTCCCCCTCTCCCTCCCCCTCTCCCACTCCCTCTCTCCCTCTCCGTTTTTTTCCTTAGTAAACAAAACAGGTTAGGTTTCAGAAAGCTCGAGAAGAGAAACAACCACGACTGAATATGAAAAAAAGTCGCTCCTGTTCCCCCCAGAGCTGGCTGTCAGGACGAAAGCTTTCAGGACGGATCAATGGAGCATTACGAGGTCAAACGGGCGTGCCCAGACAGTATTACAACCTCCCCCCCCCCCAACCTTCCATCCTCCCGCTTATGGTTTTGAAACACCTTAATGAAACCCTTGTTAGAGATAAGGAGTGGATTACAAAGGCTGAAGCACAACGACGCCGTTTCTCCCGCTCGACTCGACGCTTTTCCTTTATCTTGCTAGCTCTCACTCTTGTTCTCTCCTCTGTTTTCCGCTCCCTCTCTCTCTCCTCTGTTTTGTGCTCTCTCTCTCTCTCTCTCCTCTGTTTTGCGCTCTCTCTCTCTGTCTCTCTCTCTCTCTCTCCTTCTCTCTCTCTCTCTCTCCTTCTTTCTCTACTCTATCTCATTCTCTCTGTACCGCTCTCTCTCTTTCTCTCTCTCCCTCCCTCTCTCTCTCTCTCTCTCTCTCTCTCTCTCCCTCCCTCCCTCCCTCTCTCCCTCCCTCCCTCTCTCTCTCTCTCTCTCTCTCTCTCTCTCTCTCTCTCTCTCTCTCTCTCTCTCTCCCTCTCTCTCTCTCTCTCTCTCTCTCTCTCTCTCTCTCTCTCTCCCCCTCCCTCTCTCTCTCTCTCCCTCCCTCCCTCTCTCTCTCTCTCCCTCTTTCTCTCTCTCTCTCTCTCTCTCTCTCTCTCTCTCTCTCTCTCTCTCTCTCTCTCTCTCTCTCTCTCTCTCTCTCTCTCTCTCTCCCTCCCTCCCTCTCTCCCTCTCTCTCTCTCACTCTCTCGTTCTCATCCTCCTTCTCTCCTCTTCTTTATCCTATGCATTCCATCTTTCTCTCCTTCTCTCCTCCTCTTTATCCTATGCCTTCCCTCCGTTGGCACTCCGATCCGCCAAGCCCCGTTTAAGAGAGCCAAGCTGGCCGACTCTAGGGCGAGATAGAGCCAATTCCTGGTGACCTTTAACTCTGGCTTGGTAATGATATCATGGGGTCAAATGCGTAATGAGTTGACTTGCTTTACTGCGTGGTGTGTTGTGATATACATTTGTTATTTTATTTTGTAAGTTAGTGTTCCTTATCTAAACAGTCAATAAATTTGAACTTACACATTTATATACACGTACACACGCACGCACGTACACACGCACATGCGCAAAGATATAAATATGTATATCTAAATATATATATATATATAAATATATATGTATATGTATGTATATATATTTTTATATATGTATGTATATTTATTTATATATATGTATATATATTTATATATACATATATATAT